TATAACACGTGAGAAACCTCCCCCATCTCCATCCGCTTCCACCTCCACCGCAGGTCCTGTGCTTGTTCCAAAGAGCCCAGATAGCAACAGATGCCAAGTCGACTCGGGACGATTGTTCGATTAGCTGCTGCTAACGGGGCAGAGACCCACAGGCCTAGTGCACAGGCCCCAGAGCCAGAACTCCTGAGTTCGACCCCCAACTCCAGCGACAATTGACTCTGTGACCTCCAACAGGTGGCTGTCCAAGCTGGGCGCAGAGCACTGGCAGTGGCGCACTGAATTCTGGGAGGCGCCAGTCTGGTCTGGCTGGGCCTGGCCAGGAGGGGTTGCCATTTGGATGGGCTCCCCGGGAGTCTGCAGCCACGCTACAGCGTCACTTCCGCTGCCAAGAGCATGGCTGACCCACCAGTCACAGCTAAGCCAGGTCTGGTGCCCCTTCCTGCTCACAGCTGGGTGCAGTCGAACCACACGCCTGCACGCCCCAGCTAATAGACCTGCGGCCTTGACGTCGGCAGGCCCCAGCTAGCGCAGTTCCTCTGACCGCAGCTGCAGGAGTGATGCCGAGCGGCTTCGCTCTGTGATGTCCAGGCCTGGGACAGACGCTCAGTCGTTCCTTGTCAGAAGCCTGGTGCCTTCAACTCCCGCCAGCCCGTGAGCACGGCCGGTGCCCGGCCCCTTCCAGGATGGGGGCCCTGAGCGAACGGCGCTGGAGGCCCGGGCCTGTGCGAGGGGAGATTCTCTTGGCTCACAGCCACCTTGGCCATCAGCAAAGAGGCTGGCAGGGGGGAGCAAGGATCCAGGTGGAGCCCCTCAGAGCTTCCTGTGCTTCGGTCGCTGGAGAGCAGTCGTGGCCCTGTACAGCTCAGTTATCTCTGCAGCACGCAGGCCAACGCCCGCCCTTCCTGGGGGCTGACTGGCTAACGCCGCAGCCCCCGGGCAAGCCTCCCCCACGTCGTCCACTGCCACACCATCCGGGCACCCAGCTCACTTGCTAGCCTTGGCATCAGACTGTCAGCCGAGCGGACACAGCCCTGGCCCTGTGAGCTGGGCAGAGCGTTCAGCCATGGCTGGGTTTGATCGGGCAGGCGTCAGCGCCAATCCCCTGTTCATTCCCTCCCTGCCCCATCGTCTGTAGACAAAGGGGGCCGCTGCCCAGCCCCTTGAAGTCACTGCAAAGACTCCCGTTGGCTTTAGATCACACCCCAGCAGCACAGTTACCTCCCCAGCCTGCGGCCAACATAACGGGCCTCTTTGCGGGGCTGGCGGAAACAAGCTGTTCCCAGCCTTAAGCGTCAGGCCTGTCGGCACCTTCTCAGCTCTGGGCAGTTGCCGGATGCCTCTGCTGCCTTTGCAAGCAACGTGATCCTGCCTAGAGGTGTAACGTAACCCCATGCGCCATGGGGCCCACTGGCTATGCCCTCCACTATAACCTCCTGGAGCATTTAAACAACTGCTGCACCCCCCACCCCACCCCACCCCAGAGGTGGCTGCATTGCCGTTCCAGTGAGTGCTTCCTGTGCAGTGTTGTAGGGAGCTGCTAACTAGCTGCCATGTCCCACCCCAGAGGAGGCTGCATTGCAGTGCTAGGTGAGGGGTTTGTTAAGCGGTTCCTGTTGGCCTCAACAGCAGCCCTGGCTGACTCTCAAGGGAAGAGCCTCGCCGGGTCCTGCCCCTCCTCCACCCGTTGCCATTCATTCTGGGATCCACTTTCCCAGCCTGGCTTCCATTAGCACCAGCTGCTCAACATCTTCCCTTTGATCGGCCAGCCCCGGGCCGCAGGCACTTCCGCAGCGAGAGCGCGCAGGCCCGTGCGTGGCACGCAAGGTGGCCGGCCAGGCCTGGCTCTGCGGGCTAGGCACCTGCGCACTCCAGCGAGAGCCTGTGCCCCGCAGGAAGGCAGGGGGATGGGCCGAGGGGCAGGGTGGCCCAATGGGTGTGGCTTGGGAGTCCTGCTTCTAGCCCCCGGCCTAGCACTGTAGGCTGACCTGCTGCACCCCCGAGCGAGGCCCCGTCTCTGGCCCATTTCCCCTCCCCGGCCTTTGTCTAGTTAGACTGGGAGCGCTTCAGGGCAGGGCTGGGCTCTGCCTAGGTTTGGGACAGCGCCGAGCACCGCTGGCCTCGCTGTGCTATTGGAATACACCTAATAACGCGCAGGGGCTGCGGGAGGCTCCATCCAGCAGGGCACGAGCCCTGTGTGTTTTCTGGGGGGAGCCGGGAATGTCCCTGGGGAAGGGACCGTGGGTGAAGACCTGCCCCTGTGCCAGCCTACACTGCGCCTCCAATTCCGCAGCTCCCCAGCCGGGCTTTTCGCAAGCCCCCCAATGCACGGCCCCTCATGGGCACAGAGGCTTCTTCGCTGGCTCCGTGGTACCCAGGGGTCAGGGCACAGGAGCCCCGGGCGTTGCCCAGCCTCTGGGGCTGGGGGACTTAGACTCATTCGCGTCCCCTGCTGCCTTCACGTTCCACAGCCCCATGGAGGACATGCTCTGAGCGCTTTCCCCAAGGCGCGGGGCCATTGGGACAGGAACTGAGGCCGGGTCTGTCATGGGGCAGCCGCATGGTCTGCTGGAGCTGCCGCATCCCCCGGCGACGCTCTTCCCCTGCTAGCCAGGGGTGCGAACCCCCCGCCGGAGCTACCGCCAGCCGCTGAGCGAGGATGGGCAGGCCAGCTTCAGTTGCTTGAGCGGGGAAGCTTCCCCAGGGGGAGCCTAGACAGGGCACCCCTTAAACTATCCCCCACCACACTGCCCTTGGTGTTTGGGTCAGCACCAGGGTTTGGATCCAGGCCCTTCACCTCCATGGCACCACGTGAGCTCATAGACTCATAGACTTTAAGGTCAGAAGGGACCATTATGATCATCTGGTCTGACCCCCTGCATGCTGCAGGCCACAAAACCGTCCCTACCCTTCCTTGACTCTGCCGATGAAGTCCCCAAATCCTATGTCTTAGTGACTTCAATTTGCAGAGAACCCTCCTGCTAGCGATCCCTGCCCCATGCTGCGGAGGAAGGCGAAAAACCTCCAGGGCCTCAGCCAATCTACCCTGGAGGAAAATTCCTTCCCGACCCCAAATATGGCGATCAGTAAGACCCCGAGCATGTAGGCAAGAGTCTCCAGCCTGACCCTTGTTAGTCATTATATTGTTTACCAACCATTGCTCGGTATTCCTCAGCTAATATGTTTTACCATTAAACCATTCCCTCCATAAACTTGTCTAACTTAATCTTAAAACCAGACAGGTCCGTTGCCCCCACCGTTTCCCTGGGAAGGCCGTTCCAATATTTCACTGACTCCAGCCAGCAGTAGTAGTAAGCTGTTATCCTCTAGGAACAGGTGCTATTGGACAGAACTAGACTCCTGGGGTGATCGAAGGTGGCTGGGGCGCCGGGGGTGATCCTAGGGCACGTGCCAGGCGCTCCTGACTCAGCCCAAGCAGGGCCTTGGTTTTATGGCTGAGCTGTAAAGCGAGTCCCATGCAGCACCCTCCTGGTCAGGGACTCAAATGAGGGGGACTCTCGCCACCGCTGAGCTCTTACCCGGTGGCAGCTGGGGACGCAGTGAGGAGCTGGTTAGGCCAGCTCAGCCCTTGGCCCCGTGACTGCGAGGGTGGCACCCCGTCCCCCAGGCGCACCCAGCCAGCGACGGGGGCTGCCGGCCCTGCTCTGCCAGCCCAGCAAGCCGCAGCGGCTGGACCCGGGAATGCTGGCAGCCTTGTCAGGCAGGACGAAAGGCAAAGAGGGGTGGGGACCTGGGCAGCAGCCCCGTCTGCGTCAATCAGAGCGGTGCCTGTGCCAGGGGACTGCTGGCCTGGGAGCACCCTCAGCTCAGATGCCTGCCTGCACCCAGGGACACCCCTGGCAGGGATGGCAACCCACACCCGGGGGAGGGTCCCCTAACCCCAACTGCACCCAAGGGAGGCCCCTGATGCCCACCTGGACCTGGGGAGGTACCCGACACCCGCCCTGCACCGAGGGGAGGCTCCTGCCATGGCCCCACCTAGTGGTTATTGTTTATGGCATGGCAGAGCTCAAGGGGACCTCACAGGTACATCTAAAGCCTAGCTCCCGGGGTGGGGAAGTGGGGCGGAGGGAGCAGTCAGTGTGCTGAGGGCTGATGGGCCGCTGGCTCGCCCCCCAGCAGGGTGTGGCGGGGCTGAGGCGGCCCCACTAGGCTCCTGCCTTTGGGGCCCGAATCTGCGGCATCCCGGCCCGTTCCCAGCCGGCTGTGCCGAAGCTGCCACGCAGTGGGGACGGCAGCACCAGGAGGGAGGCTGGCATGGGGCAGGGCTGTTTGTTGGGGGGAGCTGCCCATGGGGCGCGGGCAGCCAGGGCTTGCTGCCCCCGTTCATGCTCACAAGTGGCCCCCGGTCGGCTCCCCTCTGCACAGCTGGGATGGAGGCGGCTGCAGGGGCCGGGGAAGCAGTGTTTTTAGACTCCCTGGGGGAGGCGCTGCTGGGCAGTGGGGTGCTGGCAAATGGGCAGCAGTTACCATTAGCGCCCAGTGCAACCAGGCCAGGGCACCAGTCTGCTCCTGCAACACCAGGACCATGCCAGTACACCCAAGCAGCTAGTCCCCCTGCCAGCTCCACCTAGAAAGGTGTGTGCGTGGGGGGGGGAGCCTTTACAAAAGCTAAATGCTGGGCCTGTGTGTACAAGCAACACCACCTCAGCAAGGGCCATGTGGGCCACTGGCTCAGCCACACCTCCAGGCCATGCACCGTCCCATAGCGCTAAAGCGTTCCCATGGGAGGAGCCTGTCGCTGGTTGGACTAACCCAGGGGGAGGGTGGTGCTGTCATGCTCATGCTTCAGGGCTTAAACCAACCGCACCTATTCAGGGTCAGGAGGAAAAGTTCCCTGGGGACAGGTTATTCCATAACTGCCTCCTCCAGGGCTTCATACACCTTTTCCTGAAGCATCTGCTGCTGGCCTAGCTGGGCCACTGGTCTGCTCCTACTCACCCACTCCCCTGCCCAAAAGCCCACCTCCCAAAGGCCACAGGTCAACTGATGGCACTTTTAATGCAATTGTTTTTAACACATGAGCATTACACCCATGTCATCAGACACGGCAGCGTCATACACAACGAGAGGGCGAACAGTACCAAACGAGAGCAGGCAGAGACGTCAAGTACAACAACAAAAACCGTCCTAAAACGAAGAAGAAAAAGAAGACGAGCGCGTCGATTACAGGTTAAAGCTGATGTGCGTTCACGTGCTACTTAGTCCTTCCCGCAGGGCCCATTAGACCAGCCTGGCTGCAGCTGATCACGTGTGGTACGGGGTCCCCAAGAGACCACACCCTCCCTGCCCCGAGTCTCCGAAGTATGTAGCAGAGCAATTGAACCGGAAGAGACCGCTGCACGCCCAGCATAGGGCTTGAACCTGGGAGGACCTGCTGCACCAGAGTGGGGCTGCTACTGCTCGAGGTACAGCGGTCTGGCCCCAGCAGGCTCTTCCAGTTACCGACTCAGCCAGCCTCTGGCCACGGGCTGAGCCCAGGAAACCGAGTGGGGAACTTGGCGAGCTTTTGGGGCCATGATCGCTGTGGCAGGTGGGTTCCATTTCCCGGCGAGGCGCAGCGCCGCAGACCATCTCCCACGGCAGTTCAGCACCGCTGGGCTCACGCGGCAACCGTGAGGGACAGATACACTTTGCCAAGCGCTGCAGACCCGGGGGGCGGGGGGGTCAGTTTCATTCCTCCAGTGCAGGGGAGGGGAGAAGGTCTTATTGTAGGGGAGCCTGGGCTGACCACAGGCCTCCGTCAGCGATGGTAGATCTGCCCCCGGCTGGCCCATGGGCAGGGGGGCAATCAGCTCCTGCCTTCTGCTGAGCCGAAACGGCCCAGCTCGGCGCAACACGTGGCGCTGGCGGCCGCTCCAGCTGGCCGGGCCGAGGCTGCAGGGGTTGGCGCAAGGGGGCGGCGTGCCAAGCAGTGTAGCACAGGGCACTCCCAGAGCAGAGTTCGGTCCACAGGCAGGCGGGCGGAGACCCGCTGGGGGCCGGCGGGCACGGCCAGCTCAGCAGGCATTCTGTGGGGGAAGGCACGCGGCACAACGTTGGCACCTTGGGGGAAATGCCGAACTGCAACGTCCCTGTGCCTAGCACCAGGCTCAGCCAGCGCTTCCCAGCATCGGGGGGCCTGAATCCCGTGTGGGTGTGTCGGGGGGGGGGGGGGAAGTCACCAGCAGTACTGTAGGGGGGCAGCAGGGCCAAACGAGCGGCTGGCTGGTTCCCCCACCCTCGTTCCCTCTCTGGCTGAAGGGGGGGTTGCTCGGTCACTTGGAAGTCCCCATATGACACTGGACCAATCCCCGCCAGCAACTGGGCCCAAGGGCAAAGGGCCGAACCCCTACAAGGGCTACAGGCAACGTCCATGAGGCCCCAGCCCTAGGGCGGCACCCTAAAGGATTCTGGGAACCGTCCTTAGTGAGCAAGCCCTAGCCATGGAGAGAGAGGATGGGGAGGGGAGTGTTAGCTGAGGGGGAGGGGACTGGCTGCAAGGGGGGGGTACAGTCTGAAAACTGACTCCCACCCCCAAACAAACCAGCCCGTGGGGAGAAAACGCTGAGTCAGGGACGGTTCCTTGGAGCCAGGAGGGCCCCAATTCAGTCCCTGCCTGGCACAGGTGTTTCTCTGCGCGTAGTGGGGGGTGGAGGCAGACACGGTTTGGGGATGGTGCAGTGAGTTGTGGGGGGAGGTGCTGGCTGGGGGTGGTGCCGGGCCTAGGCTGGAGGGGTGACAGAGGAGGGTGGGGGCTCCAGCGATAGAATGGGTTAGACAGCAGTGCCCTACGCCCGTGCCCGGTGATTGGTCCCTTCACCCCCTGGCCTGGGGGACCGGAGTCCACCTGGGGAGGGTGAATGGCTTGGCCCTGGCAGGTCAGGGTCCACAGGCTCCCGTATGGCTGAGGGCTCTTCCAGAGGGCGCACAGGGAAGGGGAAAGCCCATGGTTAATCCCCATGGGTTACAATGGCCACGTGACGGAAGGAAACCACACGACAAAGCCAGCCGGGATCCCCAGACAGGGCGGGCACGGGGACGGAGTCAAAGGGGCAGAGAACCCGTCCCCCCAAACGCTCCTCCCTCTCCAGCCATGCCAGCCACTCTCCCTGCCAGGCAGTAGGGCGTCACCCACCAACTCACCTCAGGGGCTGGCTCTCTCCCAAGCCCATGGTCAAGCGGGGAGAGGACCCAGAGCCTTCGGCTCCAGAATCCCAGGTCTCGTCCATTGGCGCTAAAGAACCTGCCCTAGTATTAAGGCATAGCTCCCCTGCTGACACCGCGCGTGGCACCCGCAGGCCCGGTCGCCGCCGGTAGGGGACGGCGCGGGGCACCCGCAGGCCCGGTCGCCACCAGTAGGAGACGGTGGGCTCATGCGCCAGTCACATCATGGTGCTGCACCTTGTCCTGCCAAAGGCCGCTGCTCTGTGGCTTTTTTGTTTGTTTTGTTGCCTTTTTTTTTTTAAGTTCCCTTATCATTAACAAAATTTGTTCCCCTCCCCCCTTTTCTTTTTTTGTTGCCATTTAAAACTCCTAGCGAGTCCCGTTCTCGCGGGGTGCGCGACCCCCTGCTGGCTTGCCCGTGCCATTACACCACCGAGCTGGCCTCAGCTGGGCCGGTCAAGTTCTCCACCACGTCCGGCCGCTCGATGCCGGCCAGGGCTGCGCACAGGGCCTCCAGCGTGGCCCCCTCTTTGGCGGCCCAGTCGGAGAGGAGGGTGTGGGCGGGGGCTTCGCCCCGGCTGAAGGTGTCGATGGCCTCTTCCTCGTAGCCCAGCTGGCTGGCCAGGCAGCGCCAGTCCTTGCCGTGGCTGGAGCTCTCCAGCAGCTGCTCCACCTCCTCCTGCTTGTGGGGTGGCAGGGCGCTATACAGCCGGGGCTCGGCCCTGTGCGCTGTGAAGGGACAGGCAGAGAGAGAGAGTCAGAGCCGGGACCCGTGAGTGGGCTGGTGTTACCCTGCATCCCTACCCAAGCGCTGCTGAAAGAGAAGCCACCGCGCTCCTGTCCCAGTCACCGCCCCGGCAGGTCACAGCACAGCATGCCCCTGGGGTTGTGGCTGATGGGCTAAGCTGAGCAGTGCTTGGCTACGAGACCTCCAGGTGCTAGAGGAAGCGGTGCTGGTGAATCAGTGCACACCCCTCCCCTTGAGTCACCCTGGATGCCAAAGGGGGCCACGTCTCTTGCCTGAGTCACAAAACAGAGCCTGTCCCACGTTCGGCATTAAAGCCGCCTTTCCCGGAGTGCTTTAGGAAGCAACAGGGACACGCGCCCTGCTGCTCTGGCTCTGGGACGCTGGACACCGCCCCTTTCCAGTGGGGGGAAGCTGCCATTTCTACCCCTCTAGAGATGCAAGATGACAGCCCTTAAACCTGTCATTGGTCCAGGCTTGATATCGGCCAGCCAAGGCCTCCTTCAGAGATCATTCGGGATGGGGAGGGATCCCCCAGTTTGGGGGAAAGCAGGAAACGTTTCTCAGGTGAGCTGCTTACTGTTGATGGCCAATTTATAACCATTTGTTCTTGTGCCCACACTGGCACTTAACTTAACTAACCATAATAGGTGTGGTTTCCCTTTAAGGAACTAGGCCCCGATCCTGCCACATGTCAGAGCACTGAGCCCCTTGCTGCGGCCGGCTGGCTGGAGCAGGTCCCCAGGGTGAGAAAGCCAGAGAGGCTGGAATCTTTAGCCACTGGGGGGCTCCAAGAAGAGCCACTCGAACCCATTAGCCACCCAAATAAGCACCCGGCCTGGTTCCATTCCTGGTCTGCGTCCCTGTAGTCATCCCACAGCGCCCTCTCTGGCTGATTTATGCAGCAGCACCAGCCAGTCCCTACTTTGTCATCCTCACCTGGAGAGGTGGTGGCCCCATTCCAAGGATATACAGTGGGAGGGGACCCTCAGGGGGCCCATAACGGCATCTATCAGGCAGCCCCACTTTGCCACAGCAGCCACCCCATCTGCAATGGCCTGGTCCCAGCCTCCCTCATGGGCGGACTGTAGATCAAATGCTGCTTCTATTGTTTGCTCCCCAGAGGATATTTTCAGCTGTGGGGGACCTAGAGATTGCTAAGGCCCAGACTTCCTGGGGGGACCTGGAAACGGGTCCATCATACTCCCTGGGGGGACACAGAAACCACCAATGCTCACATCGCTGGGGGAACATAGAAACCACCAATGCCCACATCCCTGGGGGAACATAGAAACCGCCAATGCCCACATCCCTGGGGGAACATAGAAACCGCCAATGCTCACACTCCTTGGGGGAACCCAGAAACCGCCAAGGCCCCTAGCCTCAAGGGACTGGAAGCTACCAACAACTCCTATGCGGGGAAGGGGCACCCTCCCTGGGGTGAGGTGGGGAGCGTGGCCCTGCTGAGGCAGCGGCTGAGAGGCCCTTACCCTTGCTGAGCGGGTGGTGCTCCTGCAGGCTGTGCGTGTCGAGGAAGACGCCACTGTCGCTGTGCAGCTTTTCGCCCTCGGGGGAGGCCCCCAGCTCCCCAGCCCTGGCTTTGGCCAGCTGTTTCTTCTGCTTGCAGGTGTTCCAGCTGCAGCGGGGGAAGGGGGAGAGCGGCTGGGCTCAGTAACATACTAGCAGTGGGAGGGGGGATCCTTGTATGCACACGTGCCCCCTTCACACCCCCAGAGTTTAGCAGCATCTCAGCTGAGCGCCCGCACTTGAAGGACCCCATTGAAACACCTGCCCCCCTACATCCCCCCCGAGCGCAGGGTTTTATCCGGCCCAGCCCTGTGCCCGCAGCCTCGGCAGGGAAGGGCTTTCGGGCTCAGCCGCGCTCTTTCTAGGGGGGGGCTCCATGTACACCTCTACCCCGCTAGAACGCAACCCGATAGAACACGAATTCGGATCTAACGCGGTAAAGCAGCGTTCCAGCGGGGTGGGGCTGCGCACTCCGGCGGATCAAAGCAAGTTCGATATAACGCGGTTTCATCTATAACATGGTAAGATTTCTTGGCTCCCGAGGACAGCGTTATATCGAGGTAGAGGTGTACCAGGATAATTCCTCTCCTCCACCCCCCCGGTTCCCTGCAGACCCCTGGCACAGATGGCTCAGCCGGGGCTGGCTGCGGGAGAAACGTCAGGCTGACCGGGGGGAAGTGAGGGGTCCTCCTGCCATCTCTGTCTCTCTGCCCCTAGCCAGCCTCCACTTCTTTCGCCATCCCTCTCCAGCTTCCCTCCGCCTCCCTCGCTCCATCCCTTTCTCCAGTGCTGCCCCCATCCTCCCCGCCTATGCACGGAGGAGCCCGGTTTGCAAACAGCTTCATGCACCTTGCATCCCTCCCTCCCGTCCCCAGCCAGAGAGCTGGGGCAAATGCCCGTGGCTAGTGCTAGTCCTGTAGCGCCGGTCTGTGCACGGGAGCATATGTCTAGTGCAACAGGGAGAGCATTGGTGAAAGGTCTCATAGGGTACGAGGAGGCCGCACCGGGTCTGGTCCTGGGACTCGGAACACCTAGGTTCTATCCCCTCCCCCACCCTGTGTGTGTTTAGGCCCTACGCTCTCGCGGGCGGGGCTGTCTCTGACCATGTGTGTACCGCCCTCCCGGTAGCGCCTAGGGCTGGCGGACGGGCTCTGGGCCCCACTGCGCCAGGTGCTGTACACGCAGGACAAAAAGACGCGCCCCGCCCCATAGAGCTCAGAATCGAACCAGGGTCCTACGCTTGGCTGGAACCAGATGCTGCTGTGCTACGGACAGCCATAGGCAGCCAGGGTCCGATCCCAGGAGGTGCTGCCCGCCCCTGCTCTCCCGGATGGCATTAGCAGGAGGTCAGACATTCAGCAGCTCCTAGGACTGGCCCCCAGCGAGTGACCAGGCACCCGCTAAACAGAGAGGAGAACAGGGGGTGCAAGGCAGCAGGCAGCAAGAGGGGGAATATATCTAGGCAGAGGCAGAGAGGGGCAAGTGGCGGAGAGGTGACTGAGTGACTGTGAGGAGCGTACAGGCCTGATCTGTACATGTCCTTAGCCTGCCAGCTGTTTGGGGCAGGGACCTTGTGTTGGGTCTGTGTTTGTAAAGCACCTGGCACTATGGGGTCCTGGCCCAGGTCTGGGGGGCCTACATATATACTGTTCCGGCTGAGTCCGGCATCGGAACGTGGTCCTTGGTGCTCAAGTGACTTGCCCAAGGTCACCCAGAGCTTGGAGCAGAGCTGGGAATCGGACTCGGATCTGCTGCGTCCCAGCCCGGTGCTTTAGCTGACAAATGCCGGCAGAGCCACAGTCCTCCGTGGGCTGCCCAGCGAATACAAGCGGTGCAAATCACCACCGGCCCCAGTGCTCACAGCAGGCTCTGCGGGTCTGTACTCAGGGGTGATCTCACATCTGGGGGGGAAGGAATCGGTCGAGTGAATACTCTCTGACTCATCACGCAGAGGGAGGCTTGGGGAAAGGAAGCCGGGGTGAGCAAGCAGACAGAGGGGTCTATGAACTATATAGCAGGAGAAGGGACGGGGGGTCTATGATCTATATGGGAGGAGGAGGGACGGGAGGTCTATGATCTATATGGCAGGAGGAGGGATGGGGGTCTATGATCTATATGGCAGGAGGAGGGATGGGGGTCTATGATCTATATGGGAGGAGGAGGGATGGGGGTCTATGATCTATATGGGAGGAGGAGGGACGGGGTCTATGATCTATAAGGGAGGAGGAGGGACGGGAGGTCTATGATCTATAAGGGAGGAGGGACGGGAGATCTATGATCTATAAGGGAGGAGGAGGGACGGGGTCTATGATCTATATGGCAGGAGGAGGTATGGGTGGGTCTATGATCTATATGGCAGGAGGAGGGACCCACTCGGCTCTGGAGTCTCTCAATGTGAGTGGAATATAAAGAATGTAAACAAGTGGGAAGGGGAGCAGGGCAGCTCGAACTCCAGGGAGGGAAATAAATCCCCAAACACAGGCACAAAGCGAGCCGGGCGGGGGTTGGCTTTGCACTTCCCAACAGAACAGCCAGCAGTTTGAAATCCTTTCAGCAGGGGTCCCATTAATCTACCGCCCACTCCTCCGGTCTCCCCAGCAGAGGCCGGATACAGAGGCAGAGAAGGATCTAATCCCGCGCCCCAAACGAGGTTTAATCCTATTCAGCCGCTGGGCCCCAGCAGTGCGCCCGACACAGTGGGGGACACGGCCCCTTCCGTGGGCCGGCCCTGCCCCGAAGGGAATAACGACCCTCCGCCTGTCTGGTGTCCCGGCTGAACACCTGTGCGCCCGGCGGGCGGGCCACGGGGACCGGAGGGCAAATCCCTCCTTCCGGAACGGGCTGTGACCGAGTCATCTCTGGCTGTGCTGCACCCACAATGGACTTGGCCCAGCAGCCTCAATGCAGCTGCACCCAGGATCCACTTGGCCCACTGAGTCCAGCCAAACCCTCCTAATACTTCGTGCCTTCCATCTTCATAGCGCCTTACAAACACCCCCTAGTTTATCACTGCACCCCACCAGCCCCTGCATGGTAGGAGGTACCTCCAGATTCCAGCCAGGGAAAGCAAGGCAGAGAAGGGGTAAGGGACACACCCAAGGTCACAGAGACAGTCAGTGTCGGAGCCTGGATTAGAAACCCAGGAGTTTCCAGCTCCCAGTCCTTGCTGAGCCCCTAGACATTAATCTCTCTTCTCCTTCCTGCCATAGGACAAGCCCTGCCCTTGGCTGGATGTCCCTCCTATTGCTTTCATACAGTATGTTTTTTCAAAGCCCAGGGAGCTCACGTGTGAAGGGGAAGCATGGTCAAGCGGTTAGCTCACAGGTCTGGGAGTCAGGACTCCTGAGTTCTCCTCCTGGCTGTGCCACTGACTTGCTGCGTGACCTGGGACTAATCACGTCACCGCTCCGTGCCTCGGTTTCCCCATCTTGTGACATGGGGATAATGATACTTCTCTGCCTCCTAGGGGTGAGTGGGAGGCATACTGCATCGGTGAGAGGAGCACTCGGATGCAAAGCGCAGGAGGAGATGAACGTCCATACCACGAGGGATGGGCAAAGCGGGACAGATCCCGGTGCTCACAGAAACGGGCCTAAGCCAAATCTGAACTTCCCCAGAGTGTCAGGGGGTTCGGTATTCTGGTTCCGGCCCGTTACAGCACTAGGGGCAGATGGGAACATCCCCAGAGCTCAGGGTTTGGAGCTGGTGTCCTCATTTGGGCCCAGGTCCGGCAGGACCCAAAAGGCTTTGCCAGGCACCAACAGGGTAAGACATGTGGAAGGTCCCCCAGGAGGGGGAACAGCCGGCCAGGAGTGGGGGTCAGTTGGCTCAGGAGGGCAGCCCAGTCAGTGTGGCTGTGGAGAGCACTTGGTTTGCTGGCTGGTGCCCCGCATGGGAGCCGGCCTATGCTGAGGGGCACCATTCCTGGTGTCCCCCCCTGCGGTGATTCTTCCGGCACCCCCTCCCCCGAGCTGGAGCAGCCCCATGAGCGAGGCCACACGTACCATTTGAAAGCCACGTAGGCCAGAAGCCCCACCACCACCGCGGCCAGGATAGAGCAGTAGACAGGGATGATGTTCTTGCTGTTGTCTGGCAGCGGCGGGAGGAACTCGGAGGAGTTATTGGGGGAGGCGCTGCCCTCTGACTCAGACAGCGGAGGCTTCTTGGGGTGCTCCTTGCGGGGGTCCCCATCCGTGCGCTTCAGGATCTGCAGCTCTCTGTCTGCAAGCAAACACAGCCAACAACACGAGATGCTTAAAAGAGACAAAGAGAGCCCTGGGCTTACCTCTCGCTCCCCAGGCACCTCCATTTTGGGGGCCTCGTGGGAGACACTGTGGGAGAGGCCGTTCCCCGCGGTGCCTCAGTTTTCTCCCCTCTGGTGGAACGTTTTCCATCAAAACTTTTTTTCAGTAGAAAATGGCTTTTTTTTTTAGCCCAACAGAAATAAATTTTTCAGGCAAAAGTTCCGTTTTCATTAAAGATCTTCCAGTTTGCCTTAAAACCGCCTCAACGTTGATTTTTTTTTTCTTCAGTTTTCAGCAACCAAAAGCCGACTTTTGAGGGGTTGAAACTGAAAACGGTTTAATTCTGGGGCCGTCAGAAACCAATACATGGGGGGGGGGGAGGTGGTTTGACAAAAACTCAAAAATGTTCAACAGCAATATTTGACAAAAAATGAAAAAAAAAATGGTTTTTCATCAAAACTTTTTGCTGGGGGAGGGGAGGGAAAGGCCGACTAAAGGAGCGCTGAGAGAATATCTGCCTCCCAAGTGGGTTTTGTGGGTTACTAGATGTTTGCAAAGAACTAGCCCGTCATACGGTAAGCGGATGGCTAAAGATAGTCTTGTGGTGAGCTGTACGGAAGTGGTGGATTATTAAAAGGAGGGGGGAGGGATAGCTCAGTGGTTTGAGCATTGGCCTGCTAAACCCAGGGTTGTGAGTTTAATCCTTAAGGGGGCCATTTAGGGATCTGGGATGAAAATCTGTCTGGGGATAGGTCCTGCTTTGAGCAGGGGGTTGGACTAGATGACCTCCTGAGGTCCCTTCCTACCCCGATATTCTGTGAAAAGTGACTTGTCCAGAGCAGCGTTTTTCACACTTTGGGTCGCGATCCAGTACTGGGAATGGAAGACACTGGGTCGCGGCAGCTCTGGGCAGCACCGCCGACTGGGCCGTTAAAAGTCCCATTGGCACTGCTGCGCGGCTAAGGCAGGCTAGTCCCTACCTGTTCTGATGCCCCGGAAGCGGCCAGCAGCAGGTCCAGCTTCTAGGCGGGGGTCACGGGGCTCCATGCACTGTCCCGCCCTGAGCACTGGCTCCGCATTGGGGGCGGGGCCAGTGCCGGCAGGTGAGAGCTGTGCGGAGCTGCTTGCGCGCCTCCACCTAGGAGCCGGACCTGCTGCTGACCGCTTCCCGGGCGCAGCGCAGTCTGCGGTGCCAGGCCAGGCGGGAAGCCTGCCTTAGCACCCCCGCTGCGCCGCTGACCAGGAATAGCCCGAGGTAAGTCCGTGCCCCAATCCCCTGCCCCAGCCCTGAGCCCCCCAAACCCAGAGCCCCTTCCTCCACCCCAAACCCCTCATCCCCAGCCCTACCCTAGAGCTTGCATCCCCAGCCCAGAGCCATGACCTCCTCCCGTACCCCGACCCCCTGCCCCAGCCGAGCCCCCTCCCACACCCCAAACCCCTCATTCCCAGCTCCGTTGGGTCACGGACATCAACAATTTTCTTCAACTGGGTCCCCAGAAAAAAAGTTTGAAAACCACTGGTCTAGAGTGATTTTCATTCCAAAGGGTGCAAAGTGCTGTTTGGATGAACGGTCCGACTCTCTTCTCACTTATACTGGCGTAAATCAGGAGTAACTGCTAACTAAGGGTGTGAAAGGACAACTGGGCCCTCTACAGTACAGGAATCACTTTGCCCTCCAGTGACATGCAGCTGGCCCTGGGATAGAGCAGCTCACAGCCCCACACTACACAGCAGTTTAGGACGGGGTGAAGAAGACTCCATTGACGCTGCAGGGAGACTTTATGCAGGATGTAATGCCCCAAGGTGGGCCTTGGCCTGGGGGCACGCCCTGGTCTAAGAAGAGCTCGGTGTCGCTCGAAAGCTGGTCTCTTTCACCAACGGGAATTGGGCCAATAAAAGAGATGACCTCTCCCACCTCGTCTCGCTAATATCCTGGGGCCGACATGGCTACCCCAACACCGCCGACGTGAGGATGGGGGGGCAATCAAAACAGACAAGGCAGAGTCATCCTCCCCATTTTGCGGATGGGAAACCGAGGCAGGGAGCAGTTAAGTGATTTGCCCAAGGCCATACAGGGAGTGATGGGCAGAGCTGGCAACTGAATACAGCTCTCCTGTGTCCCTCGTCTAGTGCCTGAACCACAAGATCGGCCTCCTTCTTGCTAAAAGTTCCCCTCACCGGCTACCATCGGAGGCAGAAATAACCCAGGTAGCTAGCCCAGCACAGCGTCGGGGAGGGGGCAACCCTTCTTCTAGAGAAGCCTGAAGGTCTGATCCTTCCCGGGATGGCAGCCGTCCATCTGCCCCCTGCTGAACGTGTGACGGCTCCAGCAAGCCGGTGGCCTGATCTCATTCTCCGGACACGGCAGGAGCCGAAGGCCCAGGCAGCAGATAATGAAAGAGACCAAAGTGGGGCTGCATTCTCTTTGCGAGGCCCTCAGCTCTGGGGCTTGAAAACCAACCCTGCAGCTCCCCTTCTCCATCCTCCCCGTCTGGCCCAGCTAGACCCACGCCCCCTCCCCCCACCTCCCGCCCCCTTGCACGGCTACATCAAAGTCTCCAAAATGGGCTGCGGCTGGGGATTGCTCCAGTGCCTGCGAGGAGCATCTGGTCTGTCTGCTGGAAAGTGATGACAAGTTACGGGCGGGGGAGGGATGGGGGGAGAGGCCTTGTCTATGGAGGAACAGCTGGAGAGGGAACAGCTGGCAGGGCCCCTCCTGCCTTTGAAGCTGCAAAGTGGGGTGCGTGAACTCGTCCTGCAGCCGCAGCTCCCCTCCTGCTTCACCCCCGAATGGAGCCGGCCGCCCCCAAAGTGCAGGGAGCGTGGCCTGCGGGAGGCTGGCTGAACTCACGAGCTGGCAGTGAGCTAGCCTTTTCCAGCGGGCCCCTTCCCTGGCTGCAGGCTCTGAGCTCAGCTGGTGCAAGGCAGGCTCCAGAGAATTTCAATCAGATTCGCTCTGCGTCCGGTTTCGTGGGTGATTCAGGGGAGCCCTCCGCAGAGCCGTCTTGCCCAGACGGTCTAATCCTGGCAGTCCCCTGGAACTCTAGGGAGGTTTAAGCTCCAACGGAGGATGAGAAGTCACCAGTTTTTCTTGGTACCCTGGACCTGGACCCTTGCTGCTTGGGGGAAGCTCTCCTCCAAACAGGAGTGGGTGGGTGAGGTTCTGTGACCTGCGATGTGCAGGAGGTCAGACTAGATGGTCCCTTCTGACCTTAAAGTCTAGGCGTCTATAAAGCAGGGGGCGAGGTACAAGCGCGTGGGGGAATTTGAGGAGGGACTGGGCTCTGGAATTGATGTCTTGGGTCCCTCTCTAACCTCAACAGCCTCCAACGGCGATAGCTCAAGCAGAGAAGAAAGCGGCATGTAAGTGTGTACGTGAGAATGGCGTGTTGGTGTGTGAAAGCTCTGGGCGGCAGGGACATTTCTGGCTATGTACGTACAGCACCTGGCACAGTAGGGCCCTGATCAGGGCCTGCGTGGGTTAATGAGATCATAAGAGGAAGTGCCTCATTTTCCACTGCTTGTGTCATCGGTGCAGAGTAGGAAGTGGATGCTAAGAACGACTGGCTGGACATTTTTTCTGAAAAATTTTCATTGGAAGATGCCATTTCAACTAAACTGATTTTGGGTGTGTGCAAAACTATCACTTTCGATGCAATTTCATTTCAAAATGGAAAAAAGCTGTTCTGAGAAAATATCCAGATGATATGTTTGGAAGTCAAAGTTTTGAATTTTCAGTTTGAAATTGACTCTGAGGTTTGACAAATTTTTAAAGGTTAAAAAAGGTCAAAATCCAAACGAAATCTTCCGAACTCATCGAATCAAAATGTTTCGATTGCAGCCCGGCTGACTTTTTCCGCCGAATTTCGTTTCACAGACGTGTTTAAAGCGGCGGCTTTTCGTCCCAATGTCAAAGCTCACATTTTTTTTGCGAGACAGAAAAGCCATTTTCGGACCAGTTCTAACGCTAAGCTGACCTGGTGGTGCGTGACGCCCACGCTACACAGCCTCACGCCCTCCTATGGCGGTTGTGTGTGTGTGTGGGTCAGTGTGTGGTGTGAACGCACCTGGAGTGTGTATCAGGCAGCCAGAACTCGAAAACCAACAGAAGGGCTGGGCTCATGTTCCATGCAAAGACCAGAGGCAGCTGCTATATTCCCTTCATGGTAACACTAGGAATACGGTATGAGCAGAGAAGGGGGAACCTGCATGGTTCTATCTGAAACCCCCACAAACCCAGGCAGATGAGGGCTGTCTAGCTAACACTCACCCACTGTGCAGTATAACCCACGCCCCCAAACACACGCACACACTCCCTTACGCAGCTGTGCTCTCCACTGGTCTACCCATCCCAGGGGACTCACAGACCCAGTGGGCCCAGCCTGAGGATTCATTTCCTGGAGTCCTTGTGCGACGGGCGGAGGAATTTGAGCAGGTGGGAAGCGCTGGCAGCGCGTGGATTCCCTCTGCGAATCAGAGAAGGCGTTTCCCATTTAAGGAGCCAGGAGGACCAGTGGGAAGGGTAAGCGGTTAGGATGCAAGTGGCTAGCAGTGAGACACGTATGGCCCAGCTCGCCGGGCCCGGCTGCTAAGAAAAACTCGTTTGTACGTTTGTATCACTAATGCCCATCTCTGAACGCCGTGGGCAACCCCCCCGCTAGGAAGGGGCTAACGACTCCTGCTGTTCCCTGTGGGGTTGGGGGAATCTAGGCACTGCCATACAGGATCAGAGCAGTATCCACTCACTGACAGCTGCTTCAGAGGCAGGTGCGTGAATCTCTGCAGTGGGCAGTTCTGGGATGACTTGCCCCAGGGGAAAGGTGCCTCTTAGCTTCTGTTAGACAGCAGTGGGCTTAAGCCCTGAAGTATTAGGGATTTTTCCCTTTCCAAAGCCCTTGGGTGTTTTAAATCCCTACTACTATAACTACTTTTATGGAGGTTTCTCTCCTCCATAAAAATGTCTCCAGTCCCTTCCGG